GACTGAGCTCGAGTGTTGAGGCCCATCTCTGGAAGGTCTCATGGTTTTAGCCTTGCTGGCAGGACTAGATTCTGCTCATCTCTGTCATCACTACGGGGACACCCTCCCCTTCTCGAGACAGTGGCCTGGCCTTCAGAGCAGGGTGAGGGGGACAGAGCTGGGGATCTACTCTGGGAGCAGGACTGGGGAGGGCCATGGGGTTTTGACTGGATCAAGCCCAAAGCCAGGCCTGATTGGGGCCGTCAGGGTGGCCAGCTCTCCAGCTGCGCCCTGGTGAGGAGAGGGGGCAGGTCTGGACAGGGACCGTGGGTTTGAGCAGTGGGGGGTGCTGGAGTGTGTGTTCCTCACCCCAGGGCCGTCAGCCTGTGCTGCCCATCACTCTGCCTGTCTTTTAAGTTCTTGGAGTGACTCCTGAGGCTGGGCTGGCAGCTGGTGGGAATCTTGTGCTTAGGGGGGTGGTCCCCTGGTCTGGTAGTGAGGGCCTGGGGAGAGTGACCACCTTCTGGGGTTCCCTCCAGCTTTAGACAGTGTAGCCCAGGGTTTTGGAATTTGGGAAAAGGCAGGTGGGGCTGCTGCCTTTCAGTGCCTGTCCTGGGGCAGTGGCTGCCCATAGTCAAAAGACAGTTCATGCGGATGGGAGCTGGCACCGTGCAGGAGAGCATCTCCAGCCCTGCGGCACCCCCTCCAGGCCACTGGGGTCAGATGGGTGGGACCCACCCTGGCCCTGGCCCCGGCCCTGGCCCCAGCCTCCTGGGCATCTCCAGGAGCCTTTTGCAGACAAACTGGGCCCTAGGCTCTGCCTCTTAAAGTCTTTGAGATTAACAGATCATTGAGATGATACGGAATGTCCAGCCTGGGTGGGCACTCAGCCCTGTGGTCACTGACCTCGGGCTTCATTGGCCCCCGGAGGGGATGCTTGGTGAGGCACCCTGGTGACTCCTTTGGGCAGGCTTCTCTGGAAGCAGGCCACCCAGCTGCATGGCCTGGTTCAATTTTGTTGTTTAACTGAATGTGCTAATTGGTGTGATCTTGGAATTTCAGCTTGGGAAGAACAGTGGTAGGTGCCAGGAAGCAGCAGGAGTGGGGCCAGGGGGCTGCCTCCAGTGCTCTGGAAGTGGCTTGGTTAGCATCTGTTGTAGGAGTGGTTGGCCATGACAGTGGATACAGCAGGTGCTCCCAGCTCAGGGCAGCCTGTCACACCCACCTGTGTATGATGATGTCCTTCCTGAAGCCCCTGTCCCTTCCTTTGGCAGTGTGGCCATAGGTGCTTTCTCAGCTGGGTCTTATGCCACCAGCCGGGACACCTAGGCTGAGAGCCTGAGGCTGGGGCAGGCATGGCATAGGCTTGGCCGAGCCTGGACTCTCAGGTGGCATGGCCTCGGGGGAAGGCTGGGGAACCGGGTGGTGGCCTGACAACCTTTGTAGGCTGAGGAAGGGGACTCCTGTTACGAGACTTATTAGTCTACATGAGAAACGCTAGCTGTTGATGGAATTCTAGGCCTGTTGTCAAACTTCCCCTTGGTCAGGCCTTGCCTGAGTGCAGTTGGCGCCGAGTCCAGGAAATGCTGGGTGAAGCAGTTCAGTGGGTGTCTTCACCGCAGGACTTGAGCCTTTCCTAAACGAATACGCATCGTGACTCCAGCAAGGGGCGAGCGACCCCCCCCACCCCCCACATCTTCTCTGCAGAGCTTAGTAGGGAGACTAGGCTCAGGATGAGCCCCCTGGGACACGCTGCCAGCATGTCACTTCTGGTGTAGGTGTGGTTCCGGCAGGTGGGTGTCTGAGGCTGGGCTGGCAGCTGCTGGGGATCTTGTGCTTAGGGTGGTGGTCTCCTGGTCCCCTGGTAGTGAGGGCCTGGGGAGTGACCAGTCCTCTGGGGTTTCGTCCAGCTTTAGACAGTGTAGCTCAGGGTTTTGGGATTTGGGTAGGAATTAGGGAAAAGGCAGTTGGTTAAGTGCTGCCCTTCAATGCCTGTCCCGATATCCTTTAAGCAGCTGGAGACCAGATGCCCAGTGTTAGTGCCAGGCCCCACTCTGCAGGGCAGGGGGCCCTCACGAGGGTTTGGGATTTCAAGAGGCTGCAGCCTGGTTGTGGAGCTGAGGAAGCCCTGTGTCTGTTGTGTTGCCTGAGTTCGTTTGGCCTGTTCGTTAAGCTGAGCCTTCCTGCTCTCCACATGCAGTGGAGGGTGAGAGGCTTCTGCTTCTAGACACATAAAGGATGGGGTACAGTGGTGGAAGCTTGGGTGAGTGAGCGTGGGGCAGGCCCAGCCCACAGGCCTCTGGAGACCCTCGCACCCACTCTTGTTCTCCCTTCTGCCTTCTCAGCACTCAGCAGTGTGGGGCTAGGCACATTTGTTCTGGTGAATTGTGGTGACATGGCTTGTTTGCCTGTCGGCCCTCAGTCACAGGTGTCCCTGTGCCCAGGGTGCCTGTTCCCACTGGCTTTCCCTGGCTTCCAGGAGTGAGATGCATTTCTCCTCCAAGCTGAGCTGGCTGTTGGTTCATTTTAATTCCAGCCCTGTGCCCAGAACTTTATAGAAGTAGCCTAATGAGCAGCGGCAGAGCTAAGCACATGGCTCCTGCTCCCACCTTTGGGGCCTATGAAAATGACCCTGGAGTCTGAGTTGGGACTTCGGGTCGCTGAACCTGTCCCCACTGGCACAGGGCGTGGGAGACGTGCCCTAGGTGTCAGATTCACATCTTGTGCTGTCAGCCTGAACTTGGCCTTTTTAAGTCTTCCACTAGAATATAACCTCTCTTACCAAAACTGCCCAGGATTCTAAACTCTATCACTGTTTTTAGAACTTCCTCAAGGGGATGGAAAAATCTGAAATTTCTCAACATGGGGAAAAAATACCATCAGATGATTTGGTTTTCTTGGTCTTTTTTTCAGAGATGAGAATTTTTATAGAAACTAGCATTTACTGCTGTTGCTTTTGTAAGGGAAAACGTGGCAGACCATGTGGCTGGGGCTATTCGAGTGGTGATCCCTTTCTTCTTCCTTTCGTGTTTCCTGTGTAGTGACTGATGGCAGCAGTTTGCTGTCCTCATGTGATGGGCACATGCAGGTGGTCTGATGGCCCCAAGGCTGCGGGTTCACTGCTGGGGGGATAGATGGCCTCTGTGGACAGCGTCATCGTTGAGCCCTGGGTCCGTGCAGTCACGGGTCTCGTCTCGTGCGAGGAGGGGATGCTGGGCCTCAGCCCTGACCCCAGGCCCTGTCTCTCTGCAGGGTTGGCGTTCTGGAGGACTCCTTTACCTTCCTGGGCATCTTCTTGGCCATCGTCTTGTTCCCTTTTGGCTTCATCTGCTGTTTTGCCTTGAAGAAGCGAAGATGCCCCAACTGCGGAGCAAACTTTACTTAAAGGGAAGAACACACCTGGCTTTCATACACCCAGCTATCTTTTTCTAATGTAAATGTTGTGTACAATAGCTTTATTTGATTAAGCTTCAGGACTGTTTTGTGAGATGGGCTACATTTGGCATGTGTGAGCCGAGGTTTCATGAGCACAGGGGTTACGGAGTGTGGACACGTACCCACACTGCTCCTGGGGTTAATGACAACTCAATAAAGCACTGCTTTTATTTTTTGCAGTCTTCAATTTGAGAAAGGTGAGAAATACTGTTTTAAATAAATGAAATTCATACCATTGTTTACCTGATTCTGCTTCTTCTGTGTTTGTACACTGTCCCATTGCAGCCCAGCCTTCTCCAATTCATGACCCTTCTTGATCTTCTATTATTCCTCAATGGGCATGTATAGCTTGAGAAAATGTGCTTGTTTTCAAGTTTTTATTACAATGAAACACAGTAACTTCACATCTGTAGAGCATGTAGCCCAGTGCGAGGACCCAAGGCGAGCCCTCCCAAGCCTGTGTGAGGCAGGTAAGTGGCCACTGCAGGCCATTCTGTGAGGGTGCAGATGGGTTGGGTAACCCAAGTGGGCCTGCAGATTGCATCTAGTAATCCTAGAACCTGTTATATATCCCAGTGACAAAGCCACAAGAAACTCAAGAGTAGAGCTCTAGGGCTAGAGTGTGACAGCCCTACCCCCGCTTCCTTCTCCCTTGTTAACAAACTTCAAAACTTGCAGCTCATTCCCTCCCCACCGTTGAAAAAAATGGGTTTCTGCAAATCCTCCTCTACTTAGACGGGTACTGCCTGACAACTGCACTTAGCCTGGCTTGGTCACAGGTGGGGGACTCTCACATAGTTCTGCATCGTCAGCTATTGGTGCAGATGCCTCCACTGGTTCACATGCATTTGACCTGGACCAATTTCAAGCTTATAAAAGAATGACAATATTTATGGCGAGACCAAAGGCACTGTGGTAAGCAACAAGCTCCACCTCCCTGTCCACACACAGTGAAGAGTGGGTGTGAATTATCCTTATTCTCCACTCCTAAAATAGGGCCTAATCCCTGACAGACAACTCAGCTACTCGCGGAGTTCCCTCCCCCAGAAGCCCAGGTTCCCAGGGCGCCATGGTGGGTATCAGTTGAAATGTAGCCCCTTGTCCTCCCAGCCACCAGCCTTGGGCTCACATGCTCCTCTTGGCTTTAGAAGCACTGTGGGCCAGTACCTGATCCAAAAGTGGAGAAACTAGGACTTTACAATTCACAAGGTTTTGGAGTGACTTCAATGATGGAAGCAGCTTTGGTCAACCAGCTTAGCAAGAGCACCCTCGGTGTCCACATGTGGGGTCCTCAGATGCCCATGAGCCCGTGAGCCAGGCCCATTGGTCAGTCCAGGTGGTGACTCACTACCAAGTTCAAGTAACTCATGGAAATTACTGAAGTACTAACTGCCATGCCATGATAGGGCTAGACAAACTGCTCTACGGCTGTGTCTAAATTGGAAGCTGGGGATTTCTCTATCTTGGGTAGCTCTGCATTTGATTAAAACTTTTTTAAGTTAGGAAACTAAATTTTATACAATATTCTCATAATTTATATTGCTTAAAATTACGATCTGTATGCTAAGATGCAAATTTACACAATATTTTCTTTAAATGTCATAGTGCTACTTAAGAGCACACACTTTATAAAACTATGGTTTCATTTACATTCATGTGCAGAAAGCCAGTCATGAAAGTGTAGACTATTCCTTATTCTAGCTATTGAAGAGATAATCATAGAATATTTATAAAATGATAGAGTAAGGATTAGAACCAAATTTACTGTAATTTGAAAAGAACAGGAGAAAAATATTTTAAATGACAGAGGTGCTCACTAATCTTCTCAAAGGCAGGAATGTACAGACCCAACTATGTGGAATTGAGAAAATGCATTGATTTGCTCAAGTGGAATACATTTAAAATCAGGCACCTTTGGGTGAAGCTTTCCAACAGGGACAGCACAGATCAGACAGCACATGCCTATCATTCTGCAGGTGAGAACATCCAAGGGACTAGAAGAGTCCTCAGCCGTCTTCATCGAATGATGGGTGCTGATCGGTCATTTGTCACTGTTGGTCGGAGTTTAACAGTCGCAAAGGGATTCTCGCCACTGTGGGGGCGGGCGGGGAAGAGGAAAAAATATCTGTCAAAATACTAGAAGGGATTTGAATGTACAGGAGCTGATGACCGTTGCTGCTCTGGCAGATCACAGAGCTGATGTAAGTTATGGACAGCCCTTCTGAACGTGAGGTTTCACTGGTGGTTCTCTGCGTGCCACTGTCAGAGAACATCCAGAGTCTTAAACGCTGCCATCCTCTGGGAAGGGGGCTGCACGGCAGAGCCACCTGGACAGGTGCATGAAGTCGCCAAGTGTGGCATGCAACCAGACCTCCCTCAGTACCCAGCAGCCATGAGGACACGGTGGCTGCGTTCCCTGACCCCATGGTCCCGAGGCCTTGCTCAGAATGCAGCTTCCTGGGCTGCGTATTGGGGAAGGCCCATCTGGGGGACTCTCCAGGCCATACACCATGGGGAAGGGCGACTGCCAGCCTGGAAGGGCTTTAGGAGAAAGTTAAACATACCTGAGAAAAGGAGGCTTTGCAATCCCATCTGCATCATTCTGTGAGAAAGAGAAAGATGAAGTTTATGGACAGCACATGAGATGGGGACATTTTTAAGACCAGGAGGTAGAGACATTTAAAGTGAAATACTGTCCACAACTATGCATGTTTAGTTTGCACCCTGCAATCTCAGTCCACTGAAACTGTCAAGGTACCTAAATTCACTTGCAAGAAAAAGGGCCAGTGAGAACCAAAAACCTCATAGACGGGGCCCCTCACGAGGGCTGGACGGACCCTCAGACCCACAGGGAAGACAAGACGCAGGGCCTGCCGCTCGCCTGCAGCCTCTCAGGTGCACAACTGTGACTGCAGCTGGTGTCTGGGGAGCCCCATCCAGAACGGTGCCATGAAAAAAACAGTAAAAAGAGAGCCTATTTGGGATCTGGTGCCCAGAGTGGTGCCAACTGCTAGCCAGTGATCTTACAGAAGTTCCATAAGTGAGAAATGGCGATGGAGCATATGAGCACCGGCTCTACCTTCAGGAACCCTAGTGGTGTGCGTGCCAGCCTCCTTTCCTCATCCCAAAAAGCTTGCAGGCTTTATGGACCTGCTTTACATCTGCTTCAGCTGTTGTACGAAATCAGTGGCCTAACGTGAGGAACGCTCAGATGGCCGCCCAGGAGAGGGCAGTGTAGCGCCAACTGGCCAACCGGCTGCCAGACCAGACCTTACTCCTGAAAGCTCCTGGGACTCCCTGGGGTCCCCATGCACCCCATGCAGCCTTCTGACCATGACTAGAATATGCCTCACTTCTGTTGCCAGCTGGGGGATTGAAGGCCAGACCTGGAGGCCAGGGCGCCTTTGGCACAGCCTTTATGGGTGGCTGGACATACAGATGCTCAAGAAGGCAGGCTTGGGGACAGGGATACTTCAGACCTATGCCTGGGCCTCTGAGGACCTCACACCTTGACCATGAATACGGGGGGCCAGCAGGCCAAGGTCATCCCAGTGGGGCACCCCAGTACCTGCAAGCAGTTCCCAGTCACCCTGGCACCCTGATTCAGCGTCCAATTTTCATCACTGAAGCACAAGGCAGCTGCCCTTAGACATTATCCTAAGAGGGCTTTAAGCAGTCGCAAAATGGTTTCCTCCTTCAGGGTATCTGAGCTCCTTAGCAGGCCTCAGAGTAAGTCATTTCTGGTGTAATGTTCGTATTATATGATGATTAAGCACTAATTTATAATTTATTTAAAGAACTTACCAGGATGCCTGTTACACAATCCCATGTGTGCTCTGTGCTGGCATTAATGTACTGCCTGGAGCACAAAGCCCAGAGCTGGAGGCCGGGTACGGGGGAGCATGTGCTCCAGCCCCACAAGCACACCCAGCCCTCTGGACTCTCCCTGGAAACCACCATCTCCGGGGTCAGGCTGCTGCATTCCCCTCACGTGTACCCACAAGTTTGAGAAAAGCCTTCTGGATTCTGACCTGGAAACCTCGGTCCCTAAACTGTCCCTAAGCTGCCCTCAAGGTGAGACCTCTGCACTGTGCCCAGAGGGCCTCCAGGGACTGAACTTCTAAACAAGTTGGGCTGCATTTTCATGAGCTGTGTCACCTGGTGCTGGTCACAGACAGCTGAGAGGGCACAAAAGGTGCATCACGGGCCACCTTTGATGGGAAGAAGTCACGACTTCTACTGAGGGAGGGCGCACACATAACTGACAACAGCCTGAAGAAGCCATTTAGTGTTGGGGCAGCCTGGGTCCCAGTGTATGCCCTGATGCCCAGGCCAGCCAGCTCCCAGGTGGTACAAACAGCACGCTTGCCCATGGGCTCCAAGACACCCATCAGAACACTCAGGGCAACCATTGTGATGGCCCAAACGCCTGTCAACAGAAGGGACAGCAGTCTTCCATCCAGAGTGGTATGCATAGCAATGGGAGGCTGCAGGGGGAAGGATACGCACATGAGGGCCAGAGAGAGGGCCAGCTCAGTGTCCGAAGTTGGGGCAGTCTACACTGTGAGAAGGGACAGTGAGGGGAGGGGTAGGGGGCTTTGGGGAGCTGGCAGTGCTCCAGTTCTTGACCTGGTGTGTGGGTTACATACAGTCGCTTTGTGAAAAGCAGGTGCCTTTCTGTATATGGTATTCCTCAGTTCTACTTTAAACAAATAGGATATTTTCAGAAAGGTTTTCCCTTTAACACACCTCCCACCAAACCCCTGCTGTGGTCCCAAATGACCGCTGTTTGCAAACCCATCCTTCCTCCCTTGCCCCTCTCCTCTCAGTGAAGGGCATGCTCAGGCCAGGTGCATTGCTGTCTACGCTCAACCAGAGAAAAGAACAGGCCAGCTGGGAGTCTGGCCACCTCGAACCTGAGTGTACGGCCCCTCATCACTGCTGAGGCAGGAAGCCCAGCTGCCTGCCTGCTGCCTCCTGAAGCCCGATCTGAGCTTGTCCCTCCACCGCCATCCCCTGTGTTCCGAGGGGTTTGGGCCTTCCTGTCTGCCCTCCCTGACCACCTTTTCCTCCTCCATCAGTTGGCAGATGCCACCTTGTCTGGCAGGAACACCAAGGTCTCTGGAGGCCTTTCTTGGTTCTCTGTGTCCCCGGACCTGACCTGGCTCCCTCAAGGCCCAGGGCTGTGAGCCGCCTTGTCCATCCCCTCAGTGCCTGTGCAGCGCAGAGCACAAGGCACATGATCAGAATACACCACAGCCAGACCAATCCTCACACACCTCACGGGCCTTGCTGCGAGCCATCAGTATACCCCATCTATGCTGCTCCCGACTCACAAAGCACAACCCAAGGCACCGGTCCCTCTGGCTGGGCTGGGACCCTGGCTGTGAAGGCGGAGCCTGTGTATGCTCTGTGTGCCCTCTGGGCAGCCCGTGTGGTGCTGACCCAGAGCGCACTTAACAAGCCAGGAGTTCATTAAGGCATGAATCCAGGAGCTGGTGGAGTGGAGCAGGCCTCCCACGAGGCAGTAAAGTAGTGAAGGCCTCGGGACTGAGCCCAGTCAGCTGCTATGGCCATGCAGGAGAACCACTCATCCTGTGGTTATCCTCAGAAAACCCCAAAACCGGGGTCCCCTGAAGTAAGAGCATGTTGTTACGTGGTGTCCAACTCGTTGGCAGACAGCTCCCAAGATGGCGTGCTTACTATGCTTCAGCCCAAGTATCCTGGTGTTTAAACAAAACTCTACATGTAACTATCAGTAACCGACAGCTTTCTGTAAAAACTACGTATAAGGATGTTAAGTGTTGTGCAGCTCTCAGGGATTCCAGCATTTCCCAACATCACGAGCTGGTTTAGACATTTTATTTAGGAAAGATAATTTATCAGTCCAATGGACAAAGAACTTTTGAAATACAAAAATTCCTGGACTGTTAGCAGCCCGGGGCTCCCAGGCAGGCAGGCCTCATTCATGTGCTTTGACTTTCACATTCTGGGTCAAGTCTTTAAATGGAACATTGCTGTATTTTGTGTGATCTGTATCTGACTGCCCAATGTGGTAGCCACTGGCCATATGGCTATTTAAATTAAAATACAAATATAAAAGCTACAAATTTGATTTGTGAGTTGCATCATCTACTTCTCAAGCACTTCCCTCTGCCTAGCGGCTACTGTGCTGGGCAGCACAGTTCCAGAACATTTCTGTCTGACTGGTAAGTTCTCCAGTTGTTTTTACTGAAACATCTTGGGTTTCCCTGCTTCCTGACAAGCTGAGTAGATCCTGTGCCTCCTGCTGCTATTCCAAGAGGCTACAAGACTAGGTGGCCTGCAAAAACCAGGCATGTTCACCTGCCCCTGAGGGCATCTCTTTGGAGCAAAACCAGCTCTTCTGTCCTCCCTGCAGTGGGCCTGCTGGTTTCACACGATTGTTTTCGTGGAACTGGTGTGACCTGGTAGTGATGACGTGTGGTAGCTGGCCTAGTAGACAGAACATTGTCACAGAGGAGGCACGTGAGAGTTTGTGGGCTTTTTCTTTTGTAGTTTGTATAGGATCTTGAAATACTATTTATTAAAGATGTTAGTAATAGAAATGGAATATAAGCCTTGTGTGCATCTGTGAAACACCCTGTACTTTTTTGGGATTATTGCCATCTTCATTTCAAGATGAGACACACTTTATTGATTTACAGATAAGCAAGAGCGAACACACAATGAGGGTGATGGGGTGGGAACCCCTGAAATCATGGCCAGTGATGCCTCATGTAGGGGGGCTCCCAAATCCTGTGGTCTCTGCTTATTTTTAAAAGCCAATTAATACTTCCTTGTGACCTTTATTAATTGGCACTTACTCTTATCCTATGGATTAGAGAAACAACACAGCAACCTATCAGGGCCTCATAAATAGCACACTGATGACAATGGTACTTGTCTTATCAATAAGAGTTCTGATGGAGGGACACTGATAAGCTAGCTGCTGGTCAGGATTGTAGAACTGTGTTTCTCAGTCTGCTGTGGGACTTAGAAGGCTACTGCCATCTGTCCATGTTTTTGCCTTGTCTCCATCTTACAAGGCCCTACCACCACTTACCTCCTGGGATGTTAAGAGGCTGGCCGCTACCCCGGAGGCACCATGAAGAGAAGGGCGTGGAGGCACTGTTTAAGGGCCAGCTGGATTGGCACTCATAACTGCTTTTAACATGACAGGAGAAAATACTGTGGCTCCACTACACATGGGAGCATTGGGGAGGGAGGAAACATACCAATCCATATCCCTAAACATACCCATCTCAGAGGAAATACAGTGAATGTTAACAGGAGCTACCCTGCAAGTGAAATTATAATTAAAACTTTCCTACTTCTATTTCCTAACTTTCTACCAAAACATAAATTCTCTGGGTTACTTTTATAAGGAGGAAAAGCATTATTTAAAAAAGAAGTATTTTAAATAAGGTGTTGTGAAGAGGTGTTTGAATTTTTATGGCAGGACCCTGACCAAGCTTGGACTTCACACCAGCTGCAGCTGTAACTGCCTGGCCAATGTACAAAGAAACCTCACATCAGCTTGTATTTAATGTATTTAGCAAATGGCAACATTAGGGTGAAAAA